AACTTCAGCAAAACCTCAGGATATAAAATCAGTCTGCAGAAATCACAAGCATTCCTATACACCAATAACAGACTAACAGAGAGTCAAATCAAGTGCAAACTCCCATTCACAATTGCTACAGAGAATAAAATACCTAGGAATACAACTAACAAAGGATGTAAAGGACCTCTTCAAGAACTACAAATCATTGCTCAAGGAAATAAAAGAGGACACAAACAGTTGGAAAAACACTCCATGCTCATGGTTAGGAAGAATCAATATTGTGAAAATGGCCACACCACCCAAAGTAATTTATAGATTCAATGCTATCCTCATCAAGCTACTAATGACCTTCTTCACAGAACTGGAAAAAACCACCTTAAAGTTCATATGGAACCAAAAGAGAGCCCACATAACCAAGACAATCCTAAGCAAAAAGAACAAAGCCCGGAAGCATCACGCTATGTGACTTCAAACTATACTACAAGGCTACAGTAATCAAAACAGCATGGTACTGGTACCAAAACAGAGATATAGACCAATGGAACAGAACAGAGGCCTCAGAGGCAAAGCTACACATCTACAACCATCTGATCTTTGACAAACCTCACAAAAACAAGCAATGGGGAAAGGGTTCCCTGTTTAATAAACAGTGTTGGGAAAACTCACTAGCCATGTGCAGAAAGCAGAAACTGGACTCCTTCCTGACACATTACACTAAAATTAACTCTGGATGGAGTAAAGATTTAAACATAAGACTTAACATCATGAAAACCTAGGCAAAACCATTCAAGACATAGGCATTGGCAAGGACTCCATGACTAAAACACCAAAAGCTGCTTGGGCAACAAAAGCTAAAACAGACAAATGAAATCTAATTAAACTCCAGAGCTTCTGTACAGCAAAAGAAACAATTATTAGAGTGAACCGGCAACCAACAGAATGGGAAAAATTTTTTTGCAATCTACCCATGTGACAAAGGGCTAATACCCAGAATCTACAAACAACTAAAACAGATTTACAAGAAAAAGACCAAAAAAAAAAAAAAAAGCCATTCAAAAGTGGGTGAAGGATATGAACAGATACTTTTCAAAAGAAGACATATATGAGGCCAACAAAGGTATGAAAATGTGCTCATCATTACTGGTCATTAGAGAAATGCAATTGAGATACTATCTCACGCCAGTTAGAATGGCCATCATTAAAAAGTCTGTAGACAAAAGATGCTAGAGAGGATGTGGAAAAATAGGAACACTTTTACACTGTTGGTGGGAGTGTAAATTAGTTCAACCATTGTGGAAGACAGTGTGGCGATACCTCAAGGATCTAGAAATAGAAATACCATCTGATCCAGCATTCCCATTACTGGGTATATACCCAAAGGATTATAAATCGTTCTATTATAAAAACACATGCACACGTATGTTTACTGCAGCACTGTTTACAATAGCAAAGTCTTGGAACTAACCCAAATGCCCATCAATGGTAGACTGGACAAGGAAAATGTGGCACATCTATACCATGGAATACTATGCAGCCATAAAAAAAAGATGAGTTGTGTCCTTTGTAGGGGCATGGATGAATCTAGAAACCATCATTCTCAGCAAACCGACACAAGAACAGAAAATCAGACACTGTATGTTCTCACTCATAGGCGGGTGTTGAACAATGAGAACACATGGACACGGGAAAGGGAGCATCACACACTGGGGTCTGTTGAGTGGGGGCACCGGGGAGGGACTGCAGGTTGGGGAGGTTGGGAAGGGATAACACGGGAAGAAATGACAGATAGAGGTGACGGAGGGGATGGACACAGCAAACCACATTGCCATGTATGTACCTATGCAACAATCCTGCATGATCTGCACATGTACCCCAGAGCCTAAAGTACAATTAAAAAAAAAAAAAAGAAAAAAACATTCAACTCTGAATGGTAGTTCCAAGACCTTGTAGAAGAGAACAATGGTGGGTTAAAAGACAGGAACTTATGTTTCCCAAAGCTGTGTTAAGAATTAAAATCTTGATTTGGCACAGTGACTTAAGCCTGTAATCCTAGCACTTTGGGAGGCCAAGTCAGGGAGATCATGAGGTCAGGAGATGAAGACCATCCTAGCTAACAGTGAAACCCTGTCTCTACTAAAAACAAAAAAAATTAGCCAGGCATGGTAGCATGTGGCTGTAGTCCCAGCTCCTCAGGAGGCTGAGGCANAAAAAAAAAAAAGAATTAAAACGTCATGAGATCTAAGATAAAGGCTTAAAACGGAGAAAACAATAAATGTATGCGATAACAGACAGGGAGAAAAACTTTCATCTGATTGATAAAAGTTAAAAAAAAAGCATGAAATCACCAAATACGTTCTCAGAAAATCAACTGATCTAGTCCTTCAGCTAGTTCATAAGAACCTGTACTAAGAAGGTACTAAATTAACAATTGTGTGAAAATATTTATTTGCAAACTTCCTTCTTACTGCTCCACATGCTTGCATACAAATGTTTATTCTTTATTTTAACATCTATGGGTCTTAAAATATTTTTCAAAGTCACTTACCCTAAACAAACATTCATTATTCTAGAAGGTTTTAGGCTTCTACCTGATTTCTAAGAGCCATAGCTTAAATGGCTATTACTTTATCTCCCTCTACTCTGGGGCATAAGCCATGCTCATATATTTATTCAAAATCCCTTAAATGTAAGAATCTGTGATTGGGGTCTGTCGGGGGGAATAGGGGAGGGACGGGGTGGGAGGGGTAGGGAGGCTGTGGAGGGATAACATGGGGAGAAATGCCAGATACAGGTGACAGGGGGATGGAGGCAACAAACCACATTGCCAGGTATGTACCTATGCAACAATCCTGCATGTTCTGCACATGTACCCCAGAACGTAAAGTGCAATAATACATATATATATATATTTAATAAATAAATAAAATAATCTGTGATTGTATTATTTTCAATTACATGTGAAGAAAAAATAAAGGCTGGATAAAATTCTAAAGCAAAATGAGTTTTCTCCACCTCTAAATTCTCAAATTGTTAAGGAATGATAATTCAAGCAAATAAATGTTTATTTAATTCATTCATCTTTTATTCTTTTTTTGGCAAACATCACATAATATAAGCAAAACTATATTGTTCACTATAGTTACACACCTTCTTTTTTGCTTTATACAAGTTGTAAACATATTTAAGTGAATAAAATTATTGGCTAAAGACATATTCCAGAAGTTTGTCATATGTTTTTCTGAGTTTGGACAAAAGAAAGCTTATGTAACTTCCATTAGACCATCATCATATGAAAAACTAAATTAGCATATACTGCTTTTAAATTAACATCTGCCATTTTATTTAAACACTTTTTTAGGTTATAACTAAAATGATATTTATCTGAAGTTTTAGGAAAGAACAGAAGTTGACCATACAAATCCTGTTCATAACCACATTGGCCACTTAAATTAAAAATACAACACAAATAAGAAATAGACATATAACCAAAAAAATTCTAACTCTTTTTTTTTTTTTTTTTTTTGAGACGGAGTTTCACTCATGTTACCCAGGCTAGAGTGCAATGGTGCGATCTCGGCTCACCGCAACCTCCGCCTCCTGGGTTCAGGCAATTCTCCTGCCTCAGCCACCTGAGTAGCTGGGATTACAGGCATGCGCCACAATGCCCAGTTAATTTTTTGTATTTTTAGTAGAGACGGGGTTTCACCATGTTGACCAGGATGGTCTCGATCTCTTGACCTCGTGATCCACCCGCCTGGGCCTCCCAAAGTGCTGGGATTACAGGCTTGAGCCACCGCGCCCGGCCTAATTCTAACTCTTATAAAGAAAAAAAAGAATAAAGCTGCCAATAACTTATTTTAGAGTACTTTAGATGTAGATAACATTTATAATACTGGGTTTCATAATATCTTGTTTTATTACTTCCTAATGCTGACATTTTAAAGTAACAGATTACTTCAAGATAAACCCAAACCATTTAGTGTTTTATAATTAAATTTCAGACGCCAAAAAATGTAGATCAAGGGTTACAAAACAGGCATCCTTCAGAATATATTTTGTTTGGTAGGCAGAATGGCTTGTAATCTTTTGAACTGGAAAGCCTTCAGGAAGTACTTACTTGCTATCAAGGACCCTGCCAGCTTCCCACATTGTTACCTGATGGGCATGTGAAAAGACTGACACCCTATTTTCCATATTATAAACCCAGTATTTACTTATAAAAATTAGTTGTAGTCACAGAGCAAAAATTCAAATGCTGTAAACAATGCTAAATCTTACTAGTTATATCTCTAATTTGGAAAAAATATATCAAACCAAAAAGGTCTCATTTTCATAATACTTCCTTACATAAATTATGAGAGACATTTGTATATATACATATGCTCTTAGAAAGAATACTGTTGTGAGTAACCTGAAATCTGGGCTAGATAAACCATTCACATGGAACACAACTGTATATAAGTCTTGGCTCCCAAACAGTGGCTTTCAACTTTGTTTGCGTATATAACATAAAAATTCTCAAATATTTGAGTTGAAAGAAAGGTGACATTAATAAGGCAAATAAAAATAAGTGACAAAGGTTATCTTCAAATCCTAGAGAATGAAGCAAAAAGGGAGATATCTTGTAAGACAAATTAGAAAAGAGGAAGAATTTCAAGTAAATGTGGCCTTAGACCTTTTACACTGCTACTCCCTAAAATTGTACAAGGTAAAGGCCATAAAATACTTGTTCCTTCAAGGAAAGCAAAGTAGAAAACACAAAAGGAAATATAAAAATGTGTAGTTATGAAAGAAATCAAGAGATGATGGTACTATCTCCAGTCCGGTGCTTAAAAAAACACCAATGAATAATAAGTGTATTAAAAAGATAGTAATCTATTAGGTCTTTTTTAAGTTATACACAAATAAAAACTAATCTATAATTCTTTAGAGGTTTAAATTTGACAGAGAATACCTATTTACCTTTAAATTTGTCTCACTTCTTTAGAAAACTGAATCCCATCTAAATAAATATTTCAAAATTCTTAATTATCAAAGGCAGCTTCTTAGTTATGCTTCGATAATGCTATATATATTAATAATAAAGCTTCACTGCATTAATCTCATCAATACCATGGTTACAACAATCAAGTTCATTTTATAGGCATTAATTAAATTGGCCATCACCATACTACATTATTGCAATGACAAAGATATTGGGTAAACTTTTTCAAGACAAATTACATTGAAATGATTATTTTGAAAGTTTTTAGTAACAGGGAGAAAGGGGAGAATTACAAACATGAAAATTTGTTCCAACACAAAACAGAATGTCCAGGATCCTATATAAATGAAAGTATCAGCAAATAGGGTACCATCTTTGTCTATGAATGATGTTCTCCACAATGGACTTACAAGTTTTAAAAATTCCACTAAGAAGACACTGGTTAAAGTTTATATCTGACATATTTCTAAAAACATCTGTTAGTAGTTTGCCATAAAACTGATTTAAGGTAGTTGTGTTTTTCAGTAGCATTTAGAATAACCCAACACTTGGTAGAAATACTCAGCTCAGCACACTGTATTAAAACATAATTGTACAACACTGGATAAATTAGCTGCAATTTTCAGTAGCTATGTTTACCAACCGTGTAACAGAATTATAATGTTCTCCTAAGCCATATGCATGTCTCATATATCTGAAATTAAAAAAAAGAAATGAGTAGTTTTGATGAAATGAGTTTTGATCAAAGTAATTTACTGTGCATGTGTGTGTGTGTGTGTGTGTGTATGTATATATATATATATACACACGTACATACATATATATACATATATACATATATCTTTCTCATATATATATACATATACACACATACACACACACACACACATGCTTATTATGTATATATAAACCAATGATTCTGTATTACTCAGTCCACATGGGTATCACTCAATAGACTACGTGGACATATTAATTAAGAGTTCAACGTCATTTGCAAAGTGGTAGCAGTCACCAAGATCTGGTTCAATCACTGGGGGTAAAATGAAAAGGCTTAGATGCTGAGGGCTCAATAAGCTTAAATTGTCACCTAAGTCTTAGCCATTGATGACTACCTTAATAGGTTTAGCTAAAAAATACTAAAGCCAATAGCAAACCCTGCATGCTGTATTTCAGAAGAGATTTCTCAATCATGTAAGATATTTTCATAAAATGAAGAAAAAACATCTAAGGAATAAACAGGTAACATGAATATATTTCAACTTTTACACTTGTTGAAACTTTTAGCACTACTAATGTCAAACCAGGACAGTATACAAACTAGCCCTAAAATTTTGTAACCTTTAGAAATGACTTTATTCTTAACTCACACACAAGAATACATCACTACAGGTTTAAAAAATTATCTAAGTCATATATTTTAACATATATATTCTAAAATTTTTATATTCCTTTTCGTCTTAATTGTGAAAAATAAAACAGTAAAAATATCTAGGTACTTACACAAGTATTAGTGGTTTTTGTGAATATTCTTCACCAACTATAATGGGAGGAGAATCTGCCTGTATTATCTCTATTGGTGTTTGTAAAATGTGAGACAGAGCTCTTAGCTACAGGAAGAAAAAAAAGTATGAGTAAGGAAAATAAAAATGTACATCATATTCAAATAGTAAACTACTGAAGTATGTGTGAATGGGCAACCAGTCAGAGCAGGGATATGCTCTGTTCACTACTATACACAGAGAGCCTGGTATATAGTGGGCACTTAATAAATATTTGTTGAATAAATAAATATAATACAGGTTGAATATCCTTCATCTTAAATGCCTGAAACCAGAACTGTTTTAGATTTTGAATTTTTTTTTCCAATTTGGGAATATTTGTATGTATTACATGAGCTATCTTGGGGATGGAATTCAAGTCTAAACACAAAATTCATTCATGTTTCATACATATCTTATACATATAACAGGAAGGTAGTTTTATACTACATTTTAAATAATTTTGTGCATGAAATTAAGTAGTGAACCTGTGACCTGTCACATAAAGTTAAGTGTTGAATTTTCCACTTGTGATGTCATGTCAGCCCTCAAAAAATTTGATTTGGGAGCATTTCAGATTTCAAATTTTCAGATTAGGGATGAGAACCTTGTATTTATTAAATCAAATGCAGAGACTGCTCAAGCGCTGCCTGCACAAAAGCTTTGTAAAAAAATATCAATGCCACTGTTAATGAAGAGGGGCAATGGGTAGATTAGGTATATTATATTAGTCTCTCTACTTTTGAATATGCTTGAAAATGTCCCTAACAAAAATATTTTTAAAATACCATTGCTTAAGCATTAGATCAAATCAATTACAATGTGAGAAAATGGGTAGAAGGGAAGAATAACATATTTATTTCTTTTTTTAAGTTTTTCAGATGATTCTAAGCTACAAACACTGTTGATAACCACTGTTCTATAATTTTCAAAGCAAGAATAGAATGAAACATGTATATGAATTGTACTGCCCTATCAACAAATTTCCATCTCATTAAGATATACAATTTTAAGTAATTTTATACCATACAATAGAAAACTAGAGCCTAAAGCCAGATGAATAATGGTGAATAATGAACATTAATGCTAACATGTTTTAAGACTTATTACAATTATGGCCAGGCACAGTAGCTCACACCTATAATTCTGCACTTTGGGAGGCCAAGGCAGGCAGATCCCTTGAGTCCAGGCATTCGAGACCAGCCTGGGCAACATCGTTAAACCGTCTCTACAAAAAAATACAAAAATTAACTGGACGTGATGGATCACTTGAGCCCGGGAGGCAGAGGTTACGGTGAGCCAAGGTCATGCTACTGCACTCCAACTAAGGTGACAGAGTGAGACCCTGTCTCAAAAAAAA